CCAACATCGGTACTTTAGGGACAAAAAACCAAACAGCCGGGTCGATGTCGCTGGGAGCCGAGAGTATGAATCACTATTGTCGAGGACATAGCAGCCGGTACAAATATTGTAAGGACAATCCTCCTCGTGGCGAGAACAAAAAATCCAAAATCAATCTAGAGAAGTAAGACCTGAAGGACCATACCTAAATAAAATTAATCTTCCAACGCCATCATTGACGTTGGGAAGGAGATTTCATCGTCGAACGAAGGGCCGAAGATTACTTATTGTAGACGATGCCATCTCTATCTCCAATGAAGAAGAAGACGGCTGGAGGAGGGGGAACCGATCCATGGTGGGGATGAAGGTGGTGGCGTCGGGTAGGTTTACAGGAGGACCTCACGAGCGAGGGAAGGAAACGCACTGCCCACGCTCCCTGGGAGAAGGAAGTTCCACATTCGACAGAATTGCCCGGAAAAACGTCCCACAAACTGACCAGGGTGCTGATCTCGACCACAGACCTTAAACTCACATACCACCGTCTCGTCTAGTTCAGTACACAGGATATATAAAGCGTCTCTTTTTGCTAACTCGAATGCCTATCAAATCTATAATACTCGTCGCCCACACAACAGGTCTACAGAACAAAACACATAGCCTATGCGGAACAAACCACACAATCTCCATCTGTAGCTCGACAAAAATCCATGGTCCGGTCTTTGGCATAAAACAGGAACGAGAAGCTCAGCACATTTCACCGGACTTTCACCAACTCCACTTCATAGATGATTGTTGAATCTTTGGGCAATTCTACAGCCGATTTACCACCATTGTCGCTGAAGAATAAATGTGGTCCAAAAGCCGAGCAAGGTGTCATTTATAGAGTATATATACATATAATAGGAAGATGGAAAGTAAACAAATCCACAATGCCTTACCACATGGATGGGGGAATGGTTAGCCTCCTCTTCTCTCCAACGCGCATACCTGCGGTGAATAGCATAAATTGTAAACCATGGTCGAAGAAATGACTCAAAGCATATACAAAACAGCGAGCTCCAAGGTAGTTTTACCAGTAATACCAAGGTTCCATCCACGCATCACTTTCTCAGAACCTGCAGTAAGCACAGCATGCATTCTGAATGACAAACCCAAGCATGGTATGGTAAGATAAGCCGAAGGCGTTTGTCAAAATTTACCAAGCTTAAACTTGTAGGGCTTTTCCTCGCCATTAGAATGAACAGTTTTTCCATCCTGCAGCTTGCCAACATAATTGATATAAACCTGCACAAGTAAAGTGGACATGTTTACATCTCTTCTTTCGGGCCAGTGTGTTTCAGGCATGTAAATTTTTAAGTACTGAATGCATACTAAGTCAGCATTCATCGTTGTTTCTTCTTTTCAGTTCTTATCTCTAATCATGGCCAGAGCCCTAGCCAAGCACACCGATATGAAATGTGCGATTGCTTTCATGAACTACAAGCATACTATATGGAGAGCTCAGAAAACAAAGCTTGCGGATACCTTGTTGCCCTCTGAAGCCACTTTGGCATCTTGGTTTCCTGCTGACAGATCTTCTATGACCAGCCCATCTTCCAATGTTCTTATGTTGTTCGAATGCTTTCCATCTTCTGCCTCTAGAGTTTTCTTCTTTTTCTTGGATTTCTTTTTTATCTCAGCTTCCTGTTTTGGAACCGATAATCCATTGACCTCTGTTACATCCCTGCTCAGGTCACACAACAAGGTACAGATTAGTGTTCACCAAACACAATCGAAACATATATGCAACTAAACAGGAAGCAGAGATATACATTGGAGATGCAGGATCCTCATTGATGGCATCACTTTTTCTTTTCTTATCACTGTTACTCCGTTTTTTGGCTTCGTCATTTGACGTAACATTTCCAGGTTTGATTTCCTCTGAAACTTTACCATTAGTTTTCTTAGCCAAGGAAACAGGCGTAGGCAAGTTTTCTTCTTCACTCTGGGCCAAAAAGTCCTCATCTTCACTGGCACTATCAAATATTGAGCCACGTTTGCACCTGGCAGCAGGCTTTGATGGAGAATCAGCAATCTTGTCAGCGGAGCTGTCAACTTGTTGCTTCTTCTTTAAGCGCCACTGTCTTTTAACCTTACGAGCATGCTTTTCAGAATCTATGTAACAAATATTAGAATGTGTTAGCAATCACTGGGATGGAAATTTAAGGAGATCCGAATTAGACAGCAGTAGCAGCATCCAATGGCAATGTGTGAACATAAATACAGGCGATGTGTACAGAATAAAAATAGCAATAATCTAGCTGTAGGGAGACTTGTTACAAAATAGTTAAATAGGCATGCTAATTGAATCTATACCTCTATAAAAAGAGCGAGTTGCGTGTATCCAACAAATCTCACTGGTTCAATTTAGCGTTAAACACGTTTAGCACCCTCCACTAATTAATGGCATGCCTGATATCAACGTCAACGTTAACCAAGTAAATTATATCCTACCTAATTTTAACATGCAATTTATATCTTGACTAATATTAATATACAACACAGTTAATACATTGCCTAATATTAACGTGCATTGCACGTACAGAATTACTTCGCATCTAGCCAACAATCTACATCACTCCGGTGTTTAGCGTTAAACACGTCTAGCACCCTCCACTAATTAAATGGCATGCCTAATATCAACATCAACATTAACCAAGTAATTATATCCTACCTAATATTAACATGCAATTTATATCTTGACTAATACTAATATACAACACAATTAATATACTGCCTAATATTAACGTGCAATGCACATACAAAATTACTAATTCCTGCAAAAGAAAGAGAGAAGGGATCAAACAATCATGCGGACCTTATGTCATCTCCACTATAGTGTAATGGTGGCAATGTGTCGTGCAAAACAAATAAATAATTGGGAACCAAATCAAAAGTAGAAAATAAATTACTCATAAGTCCCATTCGTTCTAGTTCTTAGTCATGAACAACAAATGTGGTATGATCAAAGTCCAGACTTCAGAAACATCATTAAGTATCATTTAAAGGGTATCCTACTATCCTAGAAGAACAAGGAAAACAAGCATATGTGTATGAAAGATATGCCAAGTAATTCATTGCCCGATAATTCAATTACATACCTTGCTTGCAGTGATCGGGGGTTGAGCATACATCACCATCATCCATAGAATCAGAAACATCATTGTCCTCGGGTACTTCATTGTCACCATCATCAATGAAGTCAGATTCGTAACTGTCCTCACTCCCTTCATAGTCTTGGTCTGTATCAGACTCTCCAACATCCTCTCCATAAGATTCTCTAGTTACAAGGTCAGGAGAAAACTCAAGTCTGAAACACTACAGAAAAGTGAAACAAGTGGCACGATGAAACTTTCAAAAAGGATACGAGTCTTCCTCCCCTGCATTGCCCCTTCTGCCTGGCCGGAGGTAATATCCTGAGAGATGCACAGAACTCTGGCCAAGTACTGAAAACAGAACCTCATCGACCTCCTCCAACTCAATCTCGAGATGGCACATCTCAGCCAATTTAGGATTCAAACTACAAAGTATGATGGGTTTCTTGTTGCCCACAATGCATTGCACCACTGTCCTTGTAGCAGCATCGCAGCTTCCCAATGTGGCCTGAAAACCATCATAAAAATTAATATCATGCCCGCAAATACCTGTTGGAAGGACAGCGGAGCAAACAATACAGTAGGTCTAAGCAATGCT